GGGTATATAACTAATGCTACAGCTGATATTTTTGTCGACTTTATCCCATAATGTATCACATGAAAACGGCTAAACAATGGGTATCGATAGATAGCGCTGTAGATTGTGAATCCACCTCAGAACCCCTCCAGGTATCATGCATCCATATGGACATTTGGTTCAAAAAGTAATATGGCTATATACTAACGGCCATTTGTGCAAATGATGAAAATTGCTCAAGGTACGCTTAAATTGTCCCTTAACCACATAAGATCACAAATTAAAAAACAATCAACTGAAAAAAACTTTTCTAGGTTCGTGAAACGTCAAGTTGACTAAAAGTCGATATGGTCCCAACTGCTTACCAATGTTGTTAGTCTTCGTTTCAATCCTCAGCGAGGAATGCATTCACGGTGTTATCTGAGTCATCTGCAAAAGGATAAAACAATTTTGATATAAAAAACAAACGTTACTTCAAATTTATAGGAACTTTGACAAGATGACCCAGCAATGAAGTAGTTAATGACACATTCAGTAATTCTTTACATTAAAAATGAAAGGACCAGGATCAATCTGATTTTTCATTTAGTAACTCTTGTCAAGTTTGTTGAATACCAGTTATAATGACGAAAGTTATTTCTTAAATATCCGTATATATCCCCCCAAATTGTAGGATTCATATTTCCTGGTCCTGGTAGGCGTACTGTTAACATACATCAGTCTATTCGAGAACAAAATTCTTTCTCAATTCCGAGTAAGACCATGAAGCTTGGGTCATGTTAGTTGTCCCTTGGGAATTCTCCGTAGAAAAAGATTTGTTTTGGTGAAGAAATTGTATACACCTAGAAGAATCTTTAATTATTAAACTTTCAAAATTAATTCATATACTACAAAACGTAACTTTTATTTTGCTGTAGACGTTATCCGATGCTATTTCCGTTGCAGTAGAACTCATGTAGGCTCAATATTAAAAGTCACATATTCTTTCTTCGTTGTGAACTAATTAAATGAAAAAGGAATGTTTCATACTCACATGTATCATGGATCGTACTTTCTAGAAATACGACATGGAATGATTCTGAATTGCCATCTGTTGATTCGGCATACCTTAAAGAAAAAGAGGATTCCGATCGATTACAATATCAAGAAGAGGAAAGGAAGGGAGAGGGGTTTGGGGTAGATTGTGTTTTAAGAAAAACTCATAATTTCAATTCTGTATAATAATGTGTTGAGAATATGAAACTCATTAAACAAAAAAAGTATTAAGTCTATTTCTGAAGAAAAAATGCAATGCTTGTTCTAGTTTTTGGGATGAAACAACTGTGTTCTGCGGTAATCATTTCCTATTATGTAATTGTGATATATTTTAGTCCTATACATTGTGAAATTATGAACAATGAACTATGTTGTATTTATGTTCGTATATCAAATGATAAAATAAGCGGGACCACTCCTTTTTCTTTTGCAATAATTTTTCTATTGATATAAATTAAACTCATTTTATACCCCAAAGCACACCGATCTGCAGATATATATAACAATCAATGTATTGATTGATAACCGACCTGCCCTGAAAACAAAGATACAACTCTATTTTTTTTTTGGAGTGATTATTGATGAGTGTCTGACATAGAATGTGCATTTAATTATATTAAAACATTTTGTCTAAAGATTTAGGAATTATTTGTAAAAATGAAAAAAAAATTACCCAAAGATTTAGTTTTTATTGAAAAATACAATGGTACTTCCATAAATCGTTTCATGTTTGGGCAAGTTGTGCGAAGACAAAACTAAATCCTCTTCATTTATTGCAAAAAAGGTGTCACATTTGTACCGGATCATCCTTTCTTGCAAATTCAGAACCCTTATTTCAGAAGCTGAAAACATTAACATTTTTGTTTTATATCAATACCTTGCAGGTTCAATCTTTTATGTTCAAATACTCCATCAACCTAATTTCTCCGGCATTCCACAATATGTTTGTTATAAACACCAAAATTAATTCTTATCCCACTCGAAACTCTTAGAACTTTCATTTGATGTACCCAAAATTGTTAATTGCGCATTAATATACCCGACTCCATGGCCCTGACCTATGGAATACTCTCCCAACTATTGGTAAATAATATCCCACGATTTATTGTTTCAAGGCTGCCATGAAGCGTAAATTATCATCAGCATACGATTCGCGATTGTGACTTACCATCCAATCTGATGAGGGTGATCTACGCATCCTTTGCACAATGTAACTTTGACCGACTGGTAACCCTCAAAGTAAGAGGTTGGATATACCTTTATGAAAGACCATTCAAATATAAAGGAGGTGTGCATATTAAACAGGCAGCACCAATCAAACAGAGAATATAAACAAAAAGATACACATAATGATAAAATAAATAAATAAATAGATTTAAATAATTTGATTAAAATTCGAACATTTATGTTGTCGGTACTTCAATCATAATCTCCTGCAAGATTCTTTTTTGGGGGAGTCAAAATACGTCGAGGAATCACTTCGCTTGGAGTGGAAATGTGTGTTGTGTGCAGGCCCCCCAAGCTCCGCCATTTTGTCCGGATCCATTTGAAGCCAAAATAAGCCCCCTTGCATAATTCATGAGCCCTATGAATTATGCATTCTGAAAGATGCTCCCCACGAAACGTGTACTGGAATGATGTTCACTACATGGTAAAAGACAATACGCGTATCAGCGTAATTAGAGAGGTCAAATAATCTACTGTACGGACTTATGGGTAATTTATTCATCACGCTGCGCGCTAGCAACGCAAGTGATTCAGCGAATCAGCGTAGATTATTCTGATGCGATCACCGTTAGGTGAAATACGCGCTCGAACTTGTATTATCGATCACCAGTATAACAGCTGGTGTACCCAGAATGCATCGGGAAGTGGACCTCTCGTTGTTGTGTTGTTGTTGTTTTTTAATATGGGGAGTGGCCTTAACTTCACTGAATAAGAAATACTGATCCGATCTTATTCCCTTTTTAGTCTATCAATAACTGGGTCTGTTTTTGTTTTATTAACTCAAACATGCTATAAGCCATATAACAACACATTCTCTGGCTATGATTATACATTTTGAATATGCTAATGTATAAAGTGTCCTTATTTTAGACAAACAAATTATGTGGCAAAGAGGATGGTTTTTCTCCACCCACTCTCATCGTACCTTAATGATTCCCTTTCTCTCTCCTTCTCTGTCTTTCGTAAATTATCTTCTGCAACTAACGGTTTGTTGTCTTGACTGAACAACCTGTTGCAGTTCCTTTCTGTCTCACTTTCAGTCGTAATACCATTCATTTACATTTACTCGTTATCAACTACGATCAACCATTGATCCATATTCACTCCATCACTGTCCACATTTCACTTGGATTATCTTCACTTTTCCTTTTTGCAGCCTTTGCAGGAGCTTTGAACATTTTTAATGTAGAGACCAGAGAGATCGGAAAATATGTTAATCATTTTATTCGAATTGAAAACGGAAAGTGAAACACTGTTTTTCAACATCTTGACATATTTTTTGTTTAAAGACAATGGAATTTATAACACTGGAAATATTGAATTGGGGCGCCCCCCTCCAAAAAACAAAAAACAAACCCAGAAGGGGTACCAGGGTTAGTTAGTTGGGAGGCCCATGTCCTTTATAATTTTATTTTTAGGAATAGTTTTCTCTTTTTTATCAATTTGACATTGGTATACCGTTAATTTCACTGGGAAAACCACCCCCTTCCCTTAGACATCAATACTGCCATTACTTCTAGCAACAGTAATTCTATAATTCAAAACGTTTTCATTTTCTAAATCCTTCTAATATAAACATATAACAAATATAATATTGTTTACACTTTTGCAACCTGTTACATGGTCCATTTAGCAACAGCACCAGGAAGAGGATAACAAGCCCCCCCCCCCCTGTTTTCTTAAGCTAGGAAGTATCAAAACATGATTCTATTAAAATTAGTAGTTTGGATACAACAGGCAATGATGATTAGCAGTTTCCATATTTAGTGCATTTAGAGGATTGTCTTTCAAACCTTCTTACATACAATACTTGAAGCAGCAATAATGTAATAATTTACAAAACTTCAAATACAGAAGTCCATAGACTGAGGTAAATGAATTTCAACATGTATAATTATAATTAAAATATCATTGATTGATTCAATCTTTGATATAGACTGATAGATCTTTATCACTCAAATTTCAAGGAAATTTCTTTCTGCCCAGCACTCAGTTTCATCCTATAAGATGGTAGTTGACATTGTTAAAATGTCATTAATGTTTATTCATTGATGATTAGTTATCTTTAATTATTTGAAAGTTGACAAGATGATAAATTCATTAGCTTTTTTTAAATGTGGTATATTCTACAAACATATAATACAAATAATAAATAAATAGTATGTAAATATTCAAGTTTAAACCCATCTCTACTGTCCTCTTTCATTATATGAGGGGGCATCTTTAAGACGTAGTCCCATGTAGATGTCTTCTGCATTCATCGATGAAGTTGTAGGCTAGTTTTCAGAAGAAAGGGCTGTGATGATAACCCAAGTCTGTTGAATGGAAAAATGAAATAAGATACAGTGTATAAGAAAATAAACAACAACTAATAACATACACCCTGATACCTGCTCTGACAAAAAGAGGAAGGACTAATATTCACTTGGGGTTCTAGTGGGAAAACCTAAACTTTTTTTCCTACAAGACTAGTTACTGACCACATGTTAGATTATTTCTGATGATCCCATTAAGACAATAGGCCTGATGGAGCTTGGATCAGACAAGAATGAAATAAGTAATACTGGTACATGTACAATGTACTTGTAATGTAAACTCGTGGTCATAAATGAATAGTACTCGGTTTACATAAAATGACCAAACAATTTGGAACAGAGAATGTACAGGAAACAATGCTATTGAAACATACGTTATGTAGACTTATGTTTCATGTATATTGACATTTTAGTTTTAATCTAAATCACAATTGTGATATTCAGTCAAGTATTCTTTTACAAGTCAATGGACAATGAAAAATATAATTGTCAGATCTATAACTTTCTGCATGATAAATGTGTTCTACAATAGTTTATTGGGGGTACCTACATGGTATATTAGCACACTTGCTTGTATGAAGTGCAGTAGGCCCACATCTATAGATATGATTCTGTCAATATCTGTTCTTTATTCCTCTCCTGGGTTTGTAATCAGCATGCTTTCATCATCCACTGTAGAGAAGCATCATCCTACATAAGAGAAAGCAATGTAGGTACTTCAATTAAAAAGTGATAATAATACATATCAACCATAATTCATCGTATAAACAGACTTTCGTTAATCTTATGTTGTGTTCTTCTTCATCTTTATTGCTCAAGAAGTGAAAGGACCACTTACAAAAAAAAAGTAATGAGGGGTCCTGTGTATACCCTACATGTATGATCATTATCATTATTATGTAGTGCTTTGAATGTGCATTAGACATCGTTCTTCTACACACAGGACCTCCTGTAAATAAGGACAAATCCCTTTGTAAACAAAGAAAGGGAAGAACTAGAATAAAATATTCCCTCCACTATACACACTTGAAACATACACTTAGTTCCATTTCCAATTAATAGGTGGTGGTTTAATATTTGTGTGCTAAATATCCTGAAAATTTTACCTGCATGGGACTTTCAGCTTCATCTTGAAAATATAAGAAATGTTGTAATGTCTACTCATCATTTAACTCCTTCCAGCTCTTCATCAGTTTCCATCTGTTGGAACAAAAAGAAAACAAAATCAATACGACAATCAAGGCGTCCCTTTCTCCTTAACAAAATAAAAATAGATCTAGCGTAAAAGCTATTTTTCATGTCATGGTTGGCCTTAATTTTAATATAGTGTGGAAATCAACATTCCAATTTAATGGACCACAGTACAAAGTAAAATCAAATGGAAGATTTAACTTGTGCCTCAAAAAGTGCTTTATATGGCCTATAAATATAAAGTAGTCTTAAGTAGAATTGGTTTATTAAGACAAGAAGAAGTGGACTTCATAAGTAAACATAATTGTGGACAAGGGGTCTTCTCTTACACAAACAAATAGATTTATCAACATGAACTGCACAATTCAGAGAAGAAAAAAAAATCTCTAATATATTAAAAGTAATAACAGGAGTCAGAAGCGTATGCAGGGGGGTTGGGCTAACCCCTACCTTCAGTTTTTTTTATGTGTATGTTTTTCTGGACCCCCCCCCCTTTTTTTTTTTTTTTTTTTTTTTTTAATACAAAAAAAATCATAATGGATGACCTAACCCCCCCCCATGCTTATTCAGTGGCTGGCTGAGTCGTTGCAAAATTTTTGGTCCGATTTCTAAATGTTAACCCCCTCCCCCTTGAAAAAATCCTGCGTACGCCACTGATAGGGGTCTAGATCTAGATCTAGTAGTAAGGTCAAGGTCTAGACTCTAAATGATAACTTGACAAGCATGCTGGACCCACACAAAATCTAATTATTAAATAAACAAATCCTAGTGTTGATGTTTTTTGAATACTTTTTATTAATAAGTTCCAGGTTTACATCTAAATGAAATAGGATTTGGAGTTGTTTGATTATCAATGGTCACAGATAATTTTGGTCTAAATAAAGTTGACACGGATGCAACTGAGCGAACGGATGGCACTGATAAGTAAAGCCATCAGAGTCAACATCTACTAAAGATTTTAACAAGAATTAATCCACTTAGATTATCAAAAAAATCATGCTTCAGAGATTATTGTAAGGTGTAACGTTAAATCTAGATTTAAATTAAATCGATGATTGGTGAATTAGATTCATGATGACGATCAAATCTGAAATAAAACTTGATTAGAAGTTTGATCTTGATGCAGATGAGCATCGAAATTCCCCGGGGTGGGCTTGCCGGAACGGCCGGGCCCCTAACTGGAGTACTAGGGTGAAATGACGGCAAACCGCAGTCAAACTACTTCATGACGATGAAAATCAAAGTTCAATTTCAAGAGCAATAATTTCCTAGTCTTTTCCCCCAAAATCTGTTGAGAACGGTCTCACAATGTAACGAAATTACCGTAGATCACAAAGACTATTGCAGCTTTTTCAAAATTGATGACTAAATTCACTTAATCTACTCATATTTCAATCAATTACTCACCCATTCTCAATGAACTAAATCTTCTCAGTTTGTGCGAGTAGCCTGCGTCGTGCATAAATCTGCATAATTAAAGTGACGCAATGAGGTCAAATATATTATCCGGTTTCTTAAACGATACTATCGATAAAATACATATTCATGAGGCTCATATCCAATCAAAAAGCCGCCTCGGGTGCTTATTTTGTCTTCAAATGATCCAAAAGAGGCGGAGCCTAATCACATTCGTCTGCATGGTTTCCGCGCGTGCTGCTTTCCGTCTAGTAATTATATTTAAACGTCTTTGGTTGTGTGTATGCGCGCGCGCGTGTGTGTGCGCATGTGTGTGTGAAAGACACGTTGATAATCCTGAGAATAGAGTAATCAAATTACAAAAGAGTAATTTCAGCTCTACTTTGGTTTGGATTCAAAAGATACGTTCGCAATAATAGATTAACACGTGAAAACAAGTCTCCTTCACCTTGCAATTTCATACCTTAATTATTCCATCTTATTAAAGCCCGAGTTTTGCATGAGAGTAAGGATGGAGAATTCGGGGAAAACACATTTTGAACCTTTACTCCCTTTACTGCAGACGTCTCTACATCCCGACTTCTGATTTGATTGCAATCTATGCCATATATATCAGACCTGCTATTGAATATGCGTCACATGTTCGGTCTTTGTCACGTACTACTCGACAATCCAATGACATTGAAAGGGCCCAGGAACGAGTGTGCCAGATTGTTCTCGGCGGATACGATTCCTATCCAGGAGCTTTGGACCAGGTTTGTCTTGATCCCATATACGCCCATCGTGAGAGTCTCTTACTTACATTTTAACATGGGCTTCTGACGTCGAGTCGCCACCGCGACTTACTAATTCCCGAATCTCAACGATCTCTATTAAACTTGTAGATAAGTACACAGCACTAAACTTCTTCACGAACCAAGATGCAGAACCACCAGATATTATCAATCTGCTATTCCATCCATTGTTTGATTAATAAACACAAATCCGACATGATTCATGAAATGTATTATGGAGTACTCGTTCTGATTGCAGGTCGATTTTATTTATTTTATTATTTTATTAATTTGGCCATTTTGGCAGATACACTAATCTTTTGTCTCAATCCGAATATTGCAAATGAATTCTATTACCTTAAATTCTGCTACCCTAAGAAAACCCTGTAAAAAACTGAGTTCTTACTATTGAACCTCCTAATTATAAATCTTATCTGTACTTCTAAACATTCGTTTTTAAAGTCAACGATATTTTTTTAATAGCATATAAATCTAAAATACTCGCATAGAGCCATTTTGCTTAACAACATTATGTTTATGTATAATAATGATATAGCCGCTTTTCTCTAAACACTATATACTTTGAATACTTTAATGTTTTATTGATTAAAATATTATCTACTTAATGTTATAACGGTCATAAATAGTTTTATAATTGAATTTCTTGTTATGTACTGAATTTTATTACTGGTTTCATAAACATATCACTTGTACACTGGTTTTTGACAAATAGCCATATTTCATTCTTCTTTTTTTCTTTTTCCCCATTTTCTTTTATTTTATCCTTCTTATGATTCTTCTTTCTCTTTTTTTTCTTCTCCTTTTTCTTTTTATTCTTTTTATCATATCAAATTAATAACTGTCTTAATTTTATATTTGCCTGATTTACATTGTACATTTGGCATGTATTTATATATTGCAGTTTTATTTTTGAATTAAAAATGTGTCAGTTTTTAGCGTTGAGTTTGAATTTTTACCAAAAAAACTTGTCAATTCAATTCAATTCGATATAAAAAGAGGCTTAAAAAGTCAAATAGACGGCTATAAATCCCAGTGGCGTTGCACACGAATGACCCCAAAAAGGGACAATTACCATACTGCACGTTATAACGTTGTGATTGTTGTTATTTATGAAGAGATACAGTGCGTATACAAAAAAAAAAATACCCAAATTTGGTAGCTTCTAAATAAGAAGGTATAACCTATTTGACCTCGAATCATGTTTCATGGTAAAGGGTAACTGCTATCCTTTCTAATGATACCATTTTTATAATTTTGTTTGCCACGAACGACTGAGCAGCAGGCTTACTAAAAGACAGTATTGTCAAAATCGTTTTGTCCCAAGTTTGGGCTGAAGGAATGAATGTGGGTCAAAAGCCGTTATGTGTGTATTATTTTGTTCCGAAATCAATTGCTCATTTTTTCACATCGATTATTAGGAAGCTTAAAGGTAATACAAAGTTTTGGAAAATTTTGAAAATTGGGTGAATAGTGATTCTTTACAATTTTCATATATTTGGATGCCCCTGTGGATGTATTATAACTCTAGAAAATTGAGCCTCTAAAACACTTCTGCTTTCGAGAAATATTGAATATAAAAATTTACCGGTGCTCCCGGTAAATTTTGATAAATTTCAAAAAGCGCCTACGGCCGTACAATGGTAGCTACGACCATGAAAATCTCAGAATATGTAGATGTGATTTATAACTTCCAAACGAGAATAGCAAATTGGTCGATTTTAGTCAAGAAACATTTTTTTTATAGCTCAATTAATATCTTGACCTTGAGATGGAGCTATACAACAAAAAGAGTGTATTATTTACAATTTCATAACTTTAAACTCGATTTCAACCGCGACAACGATCACTGAATTTTGTAGGATCGCATATGCTCCAATATGTTAATTTGAACCGGATTCATGGCCCCATACCAAAACGTTATATTACCTTTAATAGAAAAGTATAAATATCAACTCAAACTCAAGGAAATACTTTATTATCAGCAAAATTTATGATATTTCTTGGTTATGATGATGACAGCCTTGACTTTATTCGCATCTTTTGTTTCAGCTAACCCTTCTCATGGAGTGATACAAAATGGATAAAGTTTTATGGGATATTAAATGTTTTTGATATTTATCAACATAAGTGCATTTGGGCTTATTAAACTTTGAGTTGTCATTCCCTATTCTAGAACAACACCTTATGCTCCTTACGAAATGGCGCAACAGACAAGTAAGCAGAGAGGGTTCTAGGACAATTACCCCCTGGGCAATCACCCCCCGGAAAATTACTTCCCGGAAAACTACCCCCAAAGGACAATTACCCCCTGGAATATTACCCCCGGAGAATCACCCCCCGAGGACAACTACCCCCAAGGACAATTACCCCCCGGAAAGTTATCCCCGGAGAATTACCCCCCGAGGACAATTACCCCCGAGGACAATCACCCCCTAGGAAAATTACCCCGGAGGACAATTACCCCCGAGGACAATTACCCCCAAATGACAACTACCCTCCAAAGGACAATTCCCCCCTAGGACAATTACCCCCCCCCGAGAACAATCACCCCGATGACAACTCCCCCCCCCCGAGGACAGCTACCCCCGAGGACAACTAACCCCGTGGACAATCAGGATTCAATAGCAAAAGACGATCTGACACATTGAGAGATGGCTACGAGCCCATAAGATCCCCTGCATGAACCCATATTCGTTCAAATACTATAGCACGTTGTCTTCCTCATTACTACACATTTCCCTTTTACTATAATTTATGCAACGCCAGTGCGGTTGCTGATTTCAAAATGCATAGAAATACATTCCTCTGGAGCAGCATTATTTTAACTTTTTGTTAATCACGGTACCCTCTTAAGAAATGTAAATTTTCTCCCAAATCCCAAAGTCTTTACAGACTATTTATTGTGCATGACTCTCGCACTCGTGAAGTGCTATGCACACACGTATGGGCACATTTAAGAATAAAAAGGAGAAGACATTTTGTGAGTAATAATTAGCTGGTCTGATAAATAGACGATCGCTTTGCCTATACTAGGAAATATAAGGATTTAATCAGACGTTTTGGTGGGGAAGGTTTGAATGGCTCATCCGGGGAAATTTTGCATTGATTGTATTGGTCTCATTGACCCTACTCACGACATTTTGTTCATTATGGTCACTTTTGGCCCAAAGTGACAATTGGTATAGATTTTTTGTCAAAAATCAGGGCAACTTTCCAGTCAGAATCGATTGATGGGTGGGTTTTGACATCCAAATTTCATATAAAACTTTTATATATATATAAAAAAAATAAAAAAATAATAATAATTGAATAAAATTACCATAGTTTGGCCCCTTTTGGTCGTTTTGGCCACTTCGACCAACATTAGCGTGATATGTATAATACGCTTGAAATGTTGGTTATTCTGCCTGCTCTGGCGAAAACGGACTATTTGTATGATTTCTAGAACAACTTGATTCAATATGCTTGAGCCACCAATTTTTATATTAGCTAAAGTTTAATTGTGGTTCCCGAAATACCTTATTGGTCACCGGTAGCGTGTATGGGGGGAGGGGGGGGGGGGGAGTGTAGATGGTGCACATGCCCTGGGAGGCACTTGTGGTGTGAACAAAAAGGGTGAAATAGAAATAGAGAGGGGGAAATGAAAACAAATTAGGACTATAATGCGGCCCTATCAATATTTATTGTGAATCAAAATATAAATTAGCTTTTTGAGGGCTGAAAATGCGAAATTTTTCTAAAGGTTAGTTACTTTGCTCCATCGCAGTATGTTACCTTAAGATCTTCTTATTTCGCGCCCTGATGTAAGTTATGAATAGCGTTTTTAAGGGGTTCACAGTTAATAGAGATTGAAAATGCATTCTCGTTGCTTTACTGCCTGTCAGTTTAATCAACCGATAGGCATGAAAGATGAATGTTGGCACCCCGAATATGGGATGAAGTAGCAATTTCAAAGGTTCCCCGTAACATTGTTCAGGTGAGAGATAGTGGTGCTAAGATAATGACTTCAATGCTAGATGTACAATTAAAGATAATCTGAAAATTTGAGTGAAAACGGACCATTATTCATGGTGCTAATTGGGAAGAACTGATCTGGTCGATTCCTTCATTCTCCCAACTATATTATTACAATTTAATTACATTTTATTACATTTTAGGTCAATGTAAATCGTCCCAGAGCAATAAAAAGGCTCTACATTCCATTCCAGACATTTAAGTGTTGACAGATTCTTAATAGCCTGTTTTATGTCTTTTTTTCATGGAAAAACGGTTGGGGAAATTCAAAAATGGTTTGGAGAATTTACTGTTAATCACTGTTAGAGGGTGTCGTACTGTAACGAACCAGTTCGTCACAATTTAAGTTATCTTGCAGAAAACGTAGAGCTTTTGGGGCGTAAGGGCTCAGAGCGCGATTACAGACACACCATGTGTAAAGCAGCTCTCAGAGCGTCTCAGGAGCTATAAATAGCAGTAA